CTTCCAAAAGAATAAATCGCCAGGGAACGACGGTTTAACAGCCGAGTTTTACTTAGCCTTTTGGCCCTTGCTTGGAAAGTTGGTAGTTGATAGTTTGAACTATGCTTTCGAATACGGTGAACTATCGAACTCACAGAAACAGGCCGTTATCACCTTAATTGAAAAGAAAGGAAAAGACAAAAGGTTGGTGAAGAATTGGCGTCCAATATCTCTTGTAAATGTTGATGCTAAATTGGCGTCTAAAACTTTGGCAAAGCGTTTGGAAAAGGTGCTTCCTGAAGTAATTCATTTTAATCAAAACGCGTTTGTAAAGGGGAGAACAATTTTTGATGCCGTCAGAACGATCGATGATGTGATTGAATATGCTAGGTACAAAGATATACCTGGGATTCTAGTAGCTATAGACTTTGAAAAAGCTTTCGACTCGCTCAATTTAAATTTTCTTTTAAGAGTATTACATGCATTTAACTTTGGTCCTTCTTTTATTCAGTGGATACGGGTCTTATATAACAACGCCTCTAGCTGTGTAATGAACAATGGTTTTACAACAGGACCTTTTGCACTAAGTAGGGGAGTAAGGCAGGGAGATCCCCTCTCTCCCTACCTGTTCATAATAGCTTTGGAGACCTTAGCTATAAAGATAAGAGAAGATGATGGCATTAAGGGCATTACGATACGAGATGAACCTGTTAAACTTTCCCTTTTCGCTGATGACATGACCTGCTTTATCAAAGACAGTAGTTCTTATACCAACCTATTCGTTACGCTGAAGACTTTTGGTGAATGTTCTGGTTTAAAAATAAATAATGAAAAAACCGAAGCCTTAGCTTTAGGAAATAGTAGTTCTCTTTGGGAGGGGTATTCTGATATGCCAAATCTTTGTGACACTATTAAAATTCTAGGCGTCTACTTTGGCTATGACGCTAAACAAAGAGATGAATTGAATTTTAGGAATACTTTGAAATCACTTAAGAAGACGATCAATTTGTGGAAATGGCGTGGTCTTTCTCTCTTAGGTAGAATACAAATTGTAAAAACCTTTGCCATCCCTAAGTTTATGTTTAGAGCGTCGGTGTTGCCAATTTCTAAAGACCTTATCAAAGAGGCCGACTCGCTTTTTTACTATTTTATTTGGAATGGGAAAGATAAAGTAAAACGAAATGTAATGATTTCGGAAGTTGAGAAGGGTGGCTTAAATATGCTCGATATTGATTCTATGGTTCGTACCAGACGAGTGATATGTATGAAAAAATATTTGGAAGACTATAAAAGTCCGTGGAAAGCTTTTTTAAATGAGGTTCTTATCCCCGTTGGTGGGAAGCTCATATTGCATTGTAATTTTGATACTTCTAAATTAAGAATTTATTTACCAAGTTTCTACAAGCAATGTCTCGATGCGTGGTCAGAAGTAAATGCAAAAACACCCAGCTTGCTACATGAAATTGCAAATGAAGTTATTTGGAATAACAAGCTTCTCTGCATTAATAAGAAATCTGTGTATCGTAGAGATATTGCAGATTTAGGGTTTTTAAAAATTTGCGATTTATTTTCAACTAAAGAAAATCTCAATCCTGAGCAAGGTTTCTTCATTATGGGTATTATTAACTCTATGCCTGCCAGTTGGCGCTTGACAATTAAAAGGGCAACTACTGCACCGGTGATTGATCCACTTCCGGATTCACCTGCTATCCTAATAAGTAACAATTTGGTTCCAATTCTTGATGCTTCCTCAAAGCAAATCTACCGGCTTTTCCTGGAGAAAAAACAAACAACGCCTACTGCTAAAGTAAAGTTAGCTGCAAAGTATTCAAACATTGATATTGATTGGAAAAGTGTTTATTCGCTACCTTTTCGCACAACATTAGAATCTAAACTTAGAGAATTTCAGTTTAAAATTTTAAACCGTATTGTCTTTACAAACGAAAAACTGTTTCGTTTCGGCTTGGCTGAGTCGCCATCCTGTGCTTTCTGCCAAACAGAGGTTGAATCCGTAGAGCATTTACTCTTTTCCTGTAGAGTATCATCTAGTTTTTGGAAACATGTCTTGTCCTGGTTGCGCGATAATAACATCTCTGTTGATAACCTTAAAGAGGAGGACGTCATTTTTGGTAAGTTCGATATTGCAGAAGATTTTCTCCTGTTTAACCATATGTTGCTTCTGGGTAAGTTTTATATTTACTCTCGGAAATACCAGAATGGTATACCTTCTCTTCAAGGTTTTATAGCCAGGACAAGGCGTATTTATAACATCGAACTCCATATTGCCAGGAAAAGAGACAAATTAGACAATCATTTTAGAAAGTGGGAAAAGTTAATAAGCGTTTTTACGTAAAAGTGATGTTATGATTAATTTCAACAATTAGTTTAAAGTGATGTCATTGTAATTTACATGCTAAGTAACTGTATTGCTGTAATAGCTTTGTTTAGCTTTGTATTTTTTGTTTGTTTGTTTGTTTGTACTATATATTTGTGTGTGTGTTTTTGTGCGTGTGTGTGTGCGGTTTTTTTTTTTTTCTCTTTCTTAATTTCTATTTTGTATGTAAACGTAAGAAATGCTTTAATTAAAAAATATTACAAAAAAAAAAAAAAAAAAAACCTTTTCAGCGCAAAATCTCAACGATTTACCGCTGTGTCCTGCTGTAAAGTAATTATACTACCATAGACTTTATGAACTATCGGTTCACCATGGTGAACTGCTTCAAATAGCATTATCAAATATGTTCATTAAGAAAATTTTCCCTTACCTGTATGTTCTATGATCCCTATAATTCCAAACACTTATAGCTGCAGTAGCTTTTGTTTTTAAGGGCTAAAAAGGCAAAGAATTTCCTGAACATCATGGTGAATCATGTTACACTCAAGCTGCAGCAAATAATGTCAACAACCTCAGCAATATTTACATAAGATCCTATTAATTTAATTAGTCCTCTTGCGGGAAAATAAGACGACTAAGACATTTTCTACAAGGAGAAACAAATTTTAGCCGTTCCTCGGATATTTGATTGAAGAGACTGAATACTTGCTACCCTACTTTCATCTTCGGATTCTTCCTCTCAACAACAACTCCTTCTCACACAAAACCGAGTTCATCTTTATTTGTCCACAATATCGGCGTATCCTGGTCAGTACAAAATATCATGTCCGCTGTGTTTTTTCACTTTCCCAGTCAAGAAGCATTAAGAACTCATGCCATGGAATGATCTGCACAGACAACCGAAAATGGTTTTAAAACACTACTTCGGAGCGTCTCTGCATTGTGCACTCTATATATTACATATTATGTACTTTAAATGTCTTACTTCCATCTGTCATTCTGTCCTACGCGAAAAATAATTCAACATACTGTTTTTCTTTTTAATTCTATTTTATGTACACAACAAAAAACACGTATCTTCCATCAACGGTCCCAAAAAATTCACCTTGATCTGAACCTGTCATTATTTCCTCTCTTTGGACTAAATACAATACTCGTCACAAATCGTTGAAACAGGAGCCATTTGTCTGAAATTTTTCTCCATTTTCTCACGTATTTTGGAGCAGTGAGACGACTGTAATACCCAAATCAACATTGAGGAAGGGGAAAATCACACAAGTGTTCAAAATTTGTGACGAGTATTGTAGTTCTTGTGACCCCCCTCTTGCTCAGCCACTTGCTTATCCTGGCAAGCTTTGTGGGGCTTTCATAGTGTTCACCGAGTCCTCTGAGCTAACTGCGATATGATCATCACTCGTTTCGCTTCCTGTATTGTTGGCAGTACTGTACAGTACCGCAAATGATCCCCAACAGCAAATGATCCCAAGACCGCAAATGATCCCCAAAATGGACCGCAAATGATTCTCAAACGCAAGTGATCCCCAAAGTTGACCGCAAATGATCCAGAAAGAAAAATAGGAATGGCTTTGACTCAAGTTTGCGGATCATTGTGTCATTTTTATTATTATTACAAAAAGTCATATTAAAAGCGAAATTTTGCTTCCCAAATAATTATGTAAATAAAAACTAATTTGAAAACATTTCTTTCAAGACATCATTAAATCAAATAAAAGCAAACAAAAAATATACTTTCAACATACCGTTGTTAAAACTTCATTAAATCAAAGAAACACAGCTGCAATGCATCGCAGTGTCTTGTTTAGTTACTATTTCAAAATTAAGCTTAAAACAGCAGACTTAAACATACTGTAGTTAACTTCCAAATAGATAAGAACTTTCTCTATTCCCGTTATAACAATAGCACTTTTTTGTGTATTACTATGGTCCCGTCAGTCTCCAAATACTTGTTAAATGGAATACCTAGCCACGTGCTTATCGTAATCCGAATGTTGACATTCTTTCTGGCTGGGATAAGTAAAAATAAACATAACTACCGCTTACCTCGTTTTTGTGTTTTTCTTGACCAGGTTTAGATTCCTGGTAACTGTCTCCAGGAAAGGCACAACAAATAAACATACATATAAGCGTCAATATAACTATTCGTAACATGTTCATAAGCCGTAACGAAGTTGCTATTTTGAAATAAACCAAATTCGGTGAACATTGATAAGTTCAGGGGCATTTTGATTTTTAAATCATGTTTTGTTTGGTAACAAGCACTTGGGTTACAAACAAATTTCTTGCTGTTTATCACGTAGAATTAACACTTCAGAGAATTATCATAATGAAATATCTGAAAATTAATTCGACACTTCCAAAAAGATCAGTAAAGTCAATTAAGCGCTTGTTATGTCAAGCATGCGCTTTTTTTGTGATGAGTTGATCTTCTCTTCCTGTGATCTTTGCTGCTTTCGAGAATCCTCCCTTGGTGGCTTCTTAGTTTTTGAGTTTTGGCGTGAAAAACCATTTGTCTTTGGCTTCTCTCTTTTTGAAAGCGCCTCTTTGGTCCACTTCTTCATAACTGCTTTCCTTTCCGTTTCAGGATCAAAAGGTTCCGAGTCCTCATCGCTTTCGTTAGTACAAGGGTTGAATGGGGTTTCCATTGTTGCTTTCTTTGCCTTCTTGGTCAGTGCTTTTCCAGAGGTTGAGCACTCGGCGAGACCTTCAAACTCATAATTGCTAATTTTGCTGGTTTCTTGCGGCTCCTTACTCCCCCTTTGTTGCTAATTTCCGCCTACTATCTATTTTTCTTTAGAAGGTCAAGGAAATCACTACATTCCTTCTTCGTACCTTGCTTGAGGCATGTTGCTTCATAGTATACCTCCATAATGCTACCCATAAGTTCATCAACAACACTCCACAGAACTTGAGTGGTTCCGTTTTCCTTTTTAACTTTGTTTGCTGGCACAAGATATGGCCCTCTACAATTCTCATCTTCTGACGAAAATTCTACTATGTAAAACTGAGTAGCCAACGAGCTTTCACTAAGCACAAGACAATATCGAAGGGTGGTGAAGAGTTTGCAACTGACCCTTGACCAAAAGATTACAAATCTCACGCTTATGATTCAGTTGACCTCTCATTGAGTTTGCAACTGACCGTTGACCATCCAATGTTCCAACCGACTGACCGCTGACCGGTGTAAACAACAACTTGTTGCATGCAATATCAATGCTCAATCTGTCAGGAACAACAGGTGACTCGCTTGATGTTCTACTTCCTGTCATCACAAAGTTAGTCAATACCTCACTAACTACTTCGCACTTTTCCACTGAATGGAAACAAGTGATTGTCAACCCGCTTCTGAAAAAAGGTGCTAAGGACGTGACCCATAAAAACTTACGACCTATTAGCAACCTTCAGTTCGTCTCAAAAATTACTGAGAGGGCTGTCTTCGACCAAGTGTATAGTCACATGACTGACAACGAACTGTTTCCTGTACTTCAGTCTGCCTATAGGGAAGGGCACAGCACGGAAACAGCACTACTGAGAGCTGTAAATGATATTTTGTCCAACATGAATAAGGAACACGAGTCAATTCTTGTGTTGCTCGATCTCAGTGCGGCATTCGACACTGTCGACCATGCCATACTGTTACGCCGACTCGAGATGCTGCTCTCGCATGGTTCTCATCATATCTATCTGGACGTAGCCAGTGCGTGTCGGTGAATGGAGAGACATCGGATTGTTATCCCTTGCCATTTGGTGTTCCTCAGGGTTCGTGTCTTGGGCCCCTCCTCTTCAGTGCCTATGCCAGCAAGCTGTTTGAGGTCATCAAGCTGTACCTGCCCAACGCACATGCATTCGCTGACAGTATCCAGCTTTATCTTTCCTTCAACCCAGACAACTCCCTTAATGAAGCAGAGGCAGTACATGCCATGGAACAGTGTATTCGCACCATAAGGACGTGGATGCAATCTGACAAACTGAAACTTAACGAGAACAAAACTGAGGTCATGTTAATCGGAACCTGCCAACAACTTAGCAAAGTCAACATAGGTACCCTGACTGTTGGTGATACTAGTGTTGCTATTGTAAACAAGGCGCAAAATCTCGGAGTTTGGTTTGACTCACAGCTGAATTTTAACGTTCACATAACGAAAACATGTAGTCTATCCTCTTGTTCACTATACAAAATTAGACGCATTAGAAAGTACCTTTCATACAAGAGTGCACAAACACTAATCTTAGCACTAGTCATTAGACGCCTAGACTACTGTAATAGTCTCCTGTATGGCTTACCAGCCAGTTATATTATCAAGTTGTAATGGGTTCAAAACGCTGCTGCAAGGCTCATCTCCAATACCACGCGTTTTGATCACATTTCTCCTGTTATGAAAGACTTGCATTGGCTACCAGTTAAATACCGTATAATGTTTAAATTGGTTGTATACACATTCAAAGCTCTACATGGTAGTGATCCCACATATATTCATCAATTAATTAGACTTAAGCCACAGTCAAATTATAAACTGCGATCAAATACAAAACACTTACTGCTCGATCTGCCCAACAAGACCATGAAGACAACAGGAGACATGACGTTCTTTGCAGCCGCGCCGACCCTGTGGAACGCCCTTCCAGACGAGTTGAGAGCTTTGGGCAGTCTGAAAACTTTTATGGCACGGTTAAAAACTCATTATTTTAAATTAGCTTTTTGCTTAGAACCTATAATATTTTAACATAGATTTTTTGCACGCATATATAATATTTTTATCTAGTATCCATTTATTAACTATTTAGGAAAGCTGTAATTTTTTATCCATTTCATTGTAGTGTTATAATCACTGTAATGTAAAGCGCATCAGATCATATACCAATGTATTTTGTGCTATATAAGTAATAAAGTTATGTTATGTTACGTTATTATGTTCATTGGAATATAGGTAATAGGATACATAAAGTGAAGGTATTTAGGGGTGGACCATTTGATTTTTGATGGGGAGGTTGTGCAAATCCCCAAAAAAATATCGAGCATATGTTTCTGGTTAAAAAAAAAATTCTTGCAGAATTCTTAAGAAGGAAAAAAAAAATCGAGCAGCCTTAACCTGGGCGTGGCAAAGGATTTTGCGTGATGCGCGATGGCCCCAAAAGTAGCTGTGAGTCACATGATACAGGACTGGGCATCACATTTTTTGATGCGTGAATTAGTATTTTGCAAGCGCGACGCATGATTTACCAATTAGATTTCCTATTAAAGTGAACCCTCTAATCTACAAGGATATTATGATTCAAAGATATTCATGCATTCAGATTCCCACCCTAACAGTTGTCACGTGCAGATATTTTTGTAACAAAATAAGATACCACGAGATGATACAGACAACGTTATCAGAAGTCAACTTCGCAAAAAGACAATCGGCTCTACAACAAAAGAAAAAAACTCGCAAACAAATCTTGCCTTTTGTCACAACATACCACCCATCGGTGTTTAACCTTAAAAATATATTGATGCAAAACTGGAACTTAATACAAAATCAGCCTTTGCTGAAAAGCATATTTAAAGATCCGCCAATTATATCCTACAAGAGAGGACAATCTCTTAAAAACATGCTCGTTAGGGCAAAAATATAAGGCAGCGTTCATAACAATGACCACAACATAACGCAGTGAGTCGTGCAGGCCTGTCATTGATTATTATCACTACCGGCCTTCAAAAAGGACCATTGACAACACCTGCAGGTTATATCCCCTCCAGCTGCTTCTACGTCCACTCGAAATTCGTCTAAACTGGTAAAATCTACAGTGAGGTCCCCATTTCTTGAACCCTCCTTTTTTTTTAAACTCTAGATAACTCCAAGTACTAAATTCGTATATTGAGAAGCCAGATTACTGTGCAATTTCTCCTTCTTTGAAAGCAAAAAACAGGATTCAAATAAGACGGAATTTCCAGCTCGCCCTTTGGACAAGTTGGAACCATTACACGCAAGTTTGAAAGCTTTTCTCAGTAGCATTACGTAATTAGAAAGAAAAAAACGTTCACTTGTTCAGTGGGCAAGTGATCTGTTGGGCAAGTACAGAGAGTGATGCATATAACATCCACTAGCCTGACAGGGAAATCAACTAGCCGCAGGTTACACTCTTTTTTTCTATAAGAATATATTTTATAAGAATATCGAGGCTGAAATTTGCGAAATTTTAAGAATATTTTAAGAATAAACCCCAGGCTGCGGTTTTGAAAAGGATGTAATTTTGTGTGTTCAAAAACTTTTAATACCACACAATTATGTTTTCAACTTATTCCATACTCTGAACGGCAAAACTTGCCAACAAGGCGCAAAAACCTGCACCAACTATACTTGATGCCCCAATATATTCTAAAACGGAAATGTCATAAGCTATAATTTAAGAATATAATACAAGAACATTTTCAGCCTAAAATCGGCAGAAAAATAAGAATATTCAGCCTCGGCCAGGAAAACAACATTCTTACATAAAAAAAAGAGTGTAGTGGAGATGCATTTCTTTGTACACTGAATAAAGATGAAACTCTTTATTACTTTGAAAGAAAGATGTAAACTTAAAAATGCATTGCGTGTAAAGGTAGTTTTTAATAGCCTAAAGGGTGAATTTTGAGTGGCTGGTGATGGTCAAGTTTTTAATATTAAACTTCAAAATTTGTGTTTTAAATTTCCATTAAAAAAAATATCATGCAAGGACAGGGAGATTAAAAAAAAAAATCCTGCAGGGCTGGAGCAATAAAAAAAAATATCTAGCAGTCTAAAAATCCTGCAACCCCCCCATCAAAAATCAAATGGTCCACCCCTTATTACAACTGCATTACGGATGACAGTTCCACAAACAAAGCAACATTTTATTGATATAAATGGCTCAACAGTGGTTGTTTAATGCTTGTGCATATACATGTAAAAGATCAACACATAATTTTCAGCAATTTGTAACGGTTGCCTTAAAATACTGGGATTGTTTGTGATAATTTGATTCCGTGACTTTTTAAAAATGTTTAACACAACTGACGTTTATCTGGAACTCAATTAACAGATATTCAAAGATTAACAACCAAAAACTTGTAAATTTGATACCTTCCTTGAATTCTTCCTCTGTGTGTTCCGTAAGAGAAACATCATTTGATCTTCGTTAAAAGTACCCAAGTACCTTCGCTAATAAGTAGGTTACTGAAGTCATCTCCTGAGCTGTGGATTACGTTACTTTGTTCTCACCATTTGTAGGCGAGCGTGAATGCTCTCAAGAGCATCAATACTTTTAATGTCACACGCAACTTAGTCATTTATGTGGCATTCACGCGAATTAATTGCATTTCGCTCGTGCTTTTAATCATGTATAGATAATTGACAAATTAAATCAAAGAAAAAATTGGGATACATTTTAAGCCGATATTACATCAAAATAGTAAATCCTGGTGTTTTCCAGTTGCTCTTTAGTTCTAAATCCTGTTTATTAAAGTGGTATGTAGTTTGATGATCGCGTGAATAGCTCAGTAAAAGCACCCTTTTAGTGATTGTTAAATGATAAGTGATGACAGACAAGTATACGGCTTCACGAAAGGTTGCGTTTTTTATATGACACCAGTTAAAACAGGATGATTTGCAGTTCTCAAGTATGGTGGATTATGAAAGTTCATCGAGTTCTAGTGGCGAGGAAGAAATGCAGCTTCTTTCCATTCAACCAAACTTCAAACATCCCAAAAAATATCCAAACAGCTCCAGTACTATTATAGAAGAACAAAGGATAAGCGGAAAAGGAAATACACACCGTTTACAGATCAAGAGAATCCTAGCAGACAGCTGAAGAGGTATCATGCTACCAAGGTAAACTCCTCCGACATTTCAATGGATCCTGATGCTTCCGAAACAACCAGCGATAATTGTGACAACTGTGAATTTGGGACAAATGCATGTAACGCAGGTTCTCTTCATCACGGCTCAGAAGACGATGACACTACCCTCGATGCCACATTTTCTACGGATGAAGGTGAGGAATCATCTTCGTTAAGTGAAGGCGACTCATCTCGATCTTCCGAAAGTGAACACTTCGAAGAGTCCGAAGAGGTGAACTTACAACAGGAAAATTAAACCTCACAATCACGAGAGGAACCCCTATATCAAGGTAGCAAAATATTGAAAATCCTGTTGTTTGTCTTAATTGTTAGTTTTGTTCTTAAGCACAACTTGAGTAAAGCAGCCTGGGCAGATCTACTTCGATTGCTAACAGCTCTTCTCGGAGAGCGGCGTCGAAGAACGTTTCAGTCAGTTTATAGAATGAAACTGTTCATGAAGGAATATTTTGGATCCAAGGAACCAACAAAGATTAATTACTATTCAAATTGTTTACAGCAAGTCAAAGATCGATGCCCAAATGACAGTTGCAAAGGAGCGGCTCTGTCAAGTTTTTTAGATTTGCATTTCGAAGAAAAGATCTTTTCCGCGATTCGGCATTTTTGACGTTACTAAAACAAGGCAAGGAACAAATAAAGTGGGCAGTAAGCAGTTCGGGTATTCATGATATCTTCCATGGAATGGATTACAAAAACTTCTTACACCCAGGAGGTTTTCTTTCGCAGTTACATAACATTTATTTCACCATTAATACTGATGGAGTCAACAAATATTCCTCTTCCCGTGCTGGTCATTTGTGGCCTGTTTACATCATGATCAATGAGCTTTGAAAGGAACACCGATTCAAAAGAAAGTTTCTCATTCCTGCGGACATTTATTGTGACAAACAGGACCCAAATATGCTAACTTTTTTGAATCCGCTCATCGAGAAGCTCAATTCCTTAAATGATCGCGGAATTCATGTACCAGACAGTGCACATGGGAATATAAATGTTCGATGCATGCTTTTCGTGGCGACAGCCAATTTGCCTGCCCGGGCAGACTTGATGAACATGAAACGCTTCAATGGCAAATGTGCTTCCCACCTTTGCAAGTCAGAAGGAAAAGGTTATGGACCCAACAACATCCACAGATGCTGGCCTTTTCAACAAAACCTTGAGAAAAGGACTCACGAAGATCAGTTGACATATGCGTCAAAGGCCACTCAGAGGAAAGCAGTGATGGGAGTGAAAGGGCACTCCATCTTTGCAAAACTGTTGTATCCATTTGATCTGATTCGATCGTTTGCAATTGATTGGATGCATTGTGTTTGTCTCGGTGTTGTTAAGTATATTATGCAGCTACAAATGTCAGATGGAAACAGAGACAAACCTTTTTATCTAGGAGCAAAGAAAGCATCCATCTCACGCCAACTTCTATTGATTAAGCCGCCAGACATTGTCAGAAGATTGCCCAGATCATTAGAAGATCTGAAACACTGGAAGGCCACAGAACTGAAGAACTGGCTATTGCATTATTCGGTGGCAGTTTTAAGAAACAAATTAAATGCACTGTATGCTTTTCACTGGTCTTTGCTTGTAGGCACAACAGGAATTTTGTGTTCCGACTCAATATCCCACGAAGATCTGAGACATGCTGATAGCATGCTTCAGGATTCTGTTCTTTTAATGGGAATATTATATGGGCCCACACAATGTACAATGAACATCCACCTTTTGCAACACCTTGCTTATTACGTGTCACGAAGAGGACCTCTGTGGGCTTATAGCTGCTTTGCTTTTGAAAGTATGAATGCCTTCATTAAACCTCTTGTACATGGAACTCATCATGCTATGAAGCAAATCGGCTGTGCGATTGGACTATGTTTTGGCTTGGCTAATTACAACAAAACTGTGCTTCAAAAAAGTGATATTTCTAGAAACAGCAAGCGTTTGTTGCAAAGTCTGTCTGGCTATGCAAGAAGTAGTAGAACTTTTGCCAGAGTAAACGGGGCCTTCTTATGCGGCAAAGATGCAAGAAGTCTGGTAGATGACAACATACGGACTTTGGTGAGACTTTATGTCACGGATGGAGTATGCTCATATGCTCTCTTCCATTTAGCAGTGGGGAATATTCTTTTAATACGAAACCCAAAAGTGTGGTTCCCTTGTGAAAGACATTGGTGTGGCGGACTCTATTTACAAGGTTTATAACAACAAAATAGTAGTGAAATAAATAAGTAGTAAATTGTTGTTATGGTACATACTGTCCATCAGCATAGAACTGTAGAGATTTGATGGTGTTTATCAAATACTTACATCAGGCTTTTACTGTGGTTACCTTAGTTTATCGGTTATAAATAGTACCTCAGAGAGCCATGGCTTTTGTCAGCTGTCCTTCCTCAATTACTTATCTTTCATAAAAAGCAGTCCAGATTCTTGGTACAACCTTATGCTAAGGGCTTTTTCCATTAGAAAATGGAAGCGGCGGGTACCTTTTTTGCAAGGACAGAGTTATTGGTCAGCGTCAGACACACTATGTTACTTGAAGAGGAAGAGATGAGAGAGTGGCCACTCCCTGAAAAAAAGGTAAGATTCCCATACAAAAATGGGACACCAACAGAAGAGCAGTCAATGCCTCCCAACTACGTTAAGTACGAGGGGGAGTATTACACATCGCAAATTTCTCGTCACTTCAACAAGGCAAAGCGTATAACCCCTCTACATCCAAAATGGCAAGCTGGATGGCCATCGCAAGAACTGAATTCTATAAAAGAGTAGAGAGAACATTCATGCGACACGTTTGCGGGATCTGTGAATGGCCTGTCACTATTTATTTACCATGTTGATATTTTTGGACAGAGCCCCTTACTGCTGCGTGGGAAACTTTCACGTCCACGACAAAGACTACCAGAACACATGTACGTTCTTCAACAATATCTACTACAATATTCGAGCCTACACCATCTCCTTCAGGGAAATACCAACCAGTCCATGTAGAAACCTACTAACGCTTCTCAATCAGAGAACGGAATATTCGCATGGCCAAAAAACAGAAAAATAGACATGCAAAGAAACACAACCTACATCAGGATCGACAAATCAGATACTTATTGGCCAATTTCACTGGGCCAATCAGAGAACGCTATTTTCGATCCAACACTCTGTTAGACACTGGTATAAAACCTGTAAACACTGCCTGCACAAACACCACTCAGTTACTCCAAATAGCAGCAACTGACGAGTTCCGCTATAGGAACGAAACCGGTCTTGCTTAAGAATCTCAGAGAAAAACACCAAAGTACAGAGAGATTGCCTGATCACAAAGTGGCAACAACAAAGCAGTCTAAGGACTGTTAACCTATTTCAAAACAAGCTATTACCACTGGAAGAACTACACGCTCCAGTCAAAAGACTCACACGTCTATCTTTAGAAAAACACTAGGCTGGAGTTTACTGAGTCACACTGCAATTCTCCACAGTTGATGTAGCTTCAGTTTAAGCTGCACTTCATTCTTAAAATCTTGGATCTGTAAAACACTATCCGTGACAATTTAACATTCTGCAAAGAGAAGTTACGAGCTGGGCCCAGCATGATACAACATTGCAGAAAAACATCTCATTCACGGACTAGAGAAAATCGCTTAGTTATTCAGATCTATAAGGCACTTTGGAGAAAATTAGAGCCCTTATTTAGCCGCAATAAAAAGCTTTACGCTTTAAAAGACTGAGGTCGTACAAAATGCTCTTGCATCAGAGGGCAAATCCTGCCGACCATAAAACCACAGTAAATCGATATATGTGCCATGACCTCTCAGTGGGAAACAAACGGCTAAAATCACATTTGCTCAGTCAACATGTAGAACCTTCCAGAGCATAATCAAACCTGAGACTACTAAGCACTAACTCTTCAGAGAAAGACTTTCGTAGAAAACATAAGAATATTCAACTTACGCTTTCGAGCGAAAGGCTACCCGAACAACCTAACAGATAAAACACTCTCGGAAGTCAAATTCTCTCACAGAGAAAAAAGCTCTCAAAGAAAATACAAAAGTGCAAAAGAACCTCCGATTATTTCTTATAAAAGAGGCAGTTCATTAAGAGATACAATGGTTAAAGCCAAACGGTAGTTAATCTCTTTAACGCTACATGTAGAAAAGCAATTACATTCATGCGACACGTTTGCGGCATCTGTGAATGGCCTGTCACTATTTATTTACCATTGTGATCACGGTGTGATCACGGTGAGATCACAAAATATTTTTCCTGGGGGGGCCTTCAGTTGGCACTATCTCACTTAAAAAGGAAATTCCCCTTCTTTTGAAGACCTCCTTGGTCACATTAATAACTTCCTGTTTTTATCCTTCTCTACTTTAACGAGGAAAGCATCCATCTTACGGACGGTTCCCTGAGCTTATCCTTACTAAGAAGCTTTCAACCAACTCAAACCAAACCACGTGTTGATTGTCTACAGGTCTTAAATCATGTTTCAAAAAGTGAGTTAGTAATCATGTGAGAGCATAGTGGTTGGATGTCAACCACCCAGTTCCTTGAAATGAGCAGCTTTACATGAGTTTCCTCATTCGATGATTAAGCAGTTCACCAAGAATGCAATTCTAGACACCAGTCGCAGAGCAAATTTACTGAATTGATGGAAGATCACTTATAGCCACCGCCATGGAAAATTCTACTTACCCCCAAGATTCCCTTATATTACAAATGGTACAAGTACTTTCCAATTCTACCGACTCTTAGGTTAACAGTCCATGAGCCATGGCTTTTGTCAGCTGTCCTTCCTCAATTACTTATCTTTCATAAAAAGCAGTCCAGATTCTTGGTACAACCTTATGCTAAGGGCTTTAGAAAATGGGAGCGGCGGGTACTTTTTTTGCAAGGACAGAGTTATTGGTCAGCGTCAGACACACTATGTTACTTGAAGAGGAAGAGATGAGAGAGTGGCCACTCCCTGAAAAAAAGGCAAGATTCCCATACAAAAATGGGAAACCAACAGAAGAGCAGTCAATGCCTCCCAACTACGTTAAGTATGAGGGGGAGTATTACACATCGCAAATTTCTCGTCACTTCAACAAGGCAAAGCGTATAACCCCTCTACATCCAAAATGGCAAGCTGGATGGCAATCGCAAGAACTGAATTCTATAAAAGAGTAGAGAGAATTGTAAATCTGACAAAAACCGAAAATGGGCTCTATTAAAATAATACATCATTTTGGATTCCAGGAATTGGTGAAAAGGGTGGCCAACTCTTGCATTTGCCATGCAAGACGTCTGCAAAAACTGCATAACCTGTCTTGGAGTGGAAGGAAAAAAACAATGCCAGAGAGAAATTTACAGTGTGTTTTCTTCCACCTTTTGTTGTCTAACAACAGGTGGTTATTGTTGCAAACTAATGAAATCGTGTGGAGCGACTGCAATGCCCACTTACTAACATTTAACGATGTATAAGAAGAAAAGGATTGGCCTATTGAAGTAAACACAGATGCTCTTGAGTAGATGTTGCCTCAGAAACAGCAGAAGAAGAATGGCTTCGAGAGGAGGAAAAGTTAAAAGAACAGGTAAAAAACGTGTCTGCATGTTTATTGTTCTACGATACCAAGAAAGAACGTTTCCTACATCTCCTCTCTCACATGCTATTTCTTTTGAAAACTATAAGAATATACTTGGAAGTTCTCGTTCTCCAGGAAATAATGTTGTCCATCATAGAAGGCTTTGCCGTGTCTAATTAGTTATGGATGTTGACTGCTTTTATTAACTTACTTCGTATTATTACTTTGTATTGTATCTATACAAATATTTTATAGTTTTCAGTTGGACATCATTAGCCTTTTCACAATTGTATATATATAAGCACATTTTAATTTTTTGTTACTTCTCAACTTTAAAATGACTCTTGAACGGTAGAAACTTCGTTGTTCTTTTTTAGCATTGATTTTTATAGTCAAATCCGCTTCGAACAATTTGTTGATTCGCAGATTACAGCTATTTTCATAAAGGTGAATAGTTTTTTATTGTTTAGACAGATGTCAACAAGATAAAGGTGCAAAGTTAAATTAATTTCTTTGGCAGGAAAGATTTTGGCCTGCACTAAGCTTGCTATGATGTACTTGCCCCAGTACAGCTAGGACTATGAAAGTTGCACTATTGAAAAAGGAGAAATATGGATATTTTTATTTATTTATTTATTTAGTCACTCACAAAACCTTACACAACATGAACAAAAGGTGTTAATTAAATTATAAAACTAATGTGACAAGGAAGCCTAACGAAGCTTGAAGCTTATATTAATAGGTTTCCTTCAACTACCTAGTGAACTAAGTTCATGGCTGAGTGCAGAGTGAGCAAGATCAGAAAATTAAACGACAGATCGGCTATCAGTGAGATAATTCTTTAAATTTTTTTTAAAAACAGATATAGAAGGAGAGCTAATTAGTGAAACAGGCAACGAATTCCAGATTTTAGGTCCTCGGTAAAGGATACTGAATTGCTTTATATTTGTTCTACAAAAATGAGGTCTATATTGAGAGGCTAGTCGAGTTTCGTATTGATGGACTTGATTACTACTTAAGAACAAGTCATGAAAGCTATTAGGCAAAAGATTATGGTGATAAGAATACATAAAGGTAGCGACAGAAAATGAATTAATACTAAATATGTCAAGGACTTTAAGCTGGCTAAATAAAGGGGCGGTATTTGCTAGATAGTGAGCTTTTGTTATGAGTCGCACTAGACGCTTTTGCAAAAGGTAA